GATGACTAAGTTCTGCATTGTAAGAATAAAATGTTGCTGGATCATCGATAGATGGTATATTAAAATTTGAAAAAATCGATGAATCCAATAATACATTTTCATTTTCATTATCTTTTTCCTGACGATTAGGTCTTGGAAACGTCAATCGATGACAACTACATGCTGTAGGCACTAATAAAACAACAGATTCCGATGTCTCGTATACAGAGATTCCACTTTCCAATACAGGTGAATCACGAAAATGTATACGCACCTGGTTTTCTGTTAAATTCATATCCAAACTATGTTCAACTAATTCAAGTTTATCATACAAAACACGCCAAAATATAAAACGGTTAGGAATATCTTTGAAACAGTGTCCACCTGATCGAGGTAGTGTACTTTCATCGCGCAGTGTAGTTGAAGCACCTTCAGGATTAATCAAAATTTCCCTCCATTCATTTGATTGAAAATGTTCAGTAACTACTTGTCTGTAGATGGTATCCATGTATGGATTATTAATATCCATATTTTCTAAACAAAATAACACAATGTAATATTAGTTAAAATTTCATAAATAGCAATTATATACTAAAACTAATAAGTGTTATAATTTTTTAAGAAAAAAAAAACAATTAGTAAATAGGCGACTGAAGCCAGCAGGTGAAGGGAGTCACTAAAATAAATACTTATATTACTCATGTACTGAAATTTAAGTGTATAACTTCAGTTTACTGCCCTGTAAGCTGTAATATTTTTGGATATAAAATATTTGTCATTTGGATCATTTACAACTATAAGTTTAATTTAAGAGGAGTTATACAGTATACCCGCATTTGTTGTCTCCGTCTTACAAGAGTGTAACATATCAAATTTTACGTTCAGCAGATCATGTTTAGCTCAGTTAGCTTAAAAATTTGAGTGAATTGACCTCTCATTAAAATTAAAGGTAAGATTATTACGGAAGGCTTCTCACAGGTTTTTTATTTTACTTTTATTTTAAAGAGAGTTATGAGTATTTAAAAATTGTAAATTGTTTGTACAACTTCAAATACTCATAACTCTCTTTAAAATTAAAATATTATAACTAAGTCTGATTGCACCACTGTTCTTAACTCGTTGAAGTACATAAGTGTCCAAGAAAAAAATATTTATAATACTTGGTAAACTAGAGTGATGCGCGAATGCCTACAAAACTTAGAGTTGCTAACTTCCAAATGCCATAAATTCAAAACTAAGTCTAACCGACAAATTCTGATTACACCATTGTACTTAAATAGTTAATACAAGTTCCAAAAAAAAATTGAAAAATTTGCATTGGGTGGTAAGTACTAAGTCAGGTTAGGTTAGTCTAATATAATCTATCTAGTAAATCCCACCGGTTTTTTAAATTTATATTTTAGTTTTTAAGCAATTCATGAGCCTTTTTTAATTTTGAATTGTTTGTATATTTTAAAATACAAACTTATACAACTTTTAAACTGTTCTATGTAAAATACTAAATAATATCATCAATCACACATTTCCACTTAGCCAAATAAACTTTAAAGTAAATTAGCATAATGTCTGTAAAAAAACCTATTTTATTTCAGTTTTCTAAATAAAAGTTGATCATGCCCACCAGGTTAGGTCACCAGGTTAGCTCACTTCTTGGTAATATATAGGTAGAGAAATATAAACTTATATGTAATGTTTTTATTTTTAATTTTATTTTTCAGTCATGTTTTCATTGAACTGTATTTGGGTACTCAACATATTTTAAGTAAAAATTAACAATTAAATTACTTTCAAAATATTGAATTTCATATACAAATTCTGTTTAGTATTTGATCATTATATTTTGGAAAAAAATTGCTAAGTAATAGGTTTATTAGTTATTAAATATTAATTATTTGAGTAGCTAATAAAATAGTGACGTATATTACGAAAGAATAACAAAATGGAAATACACAACAAGGCCCAGAAAGAAAATATGTATTTTTAGATATGGATCAAAATCGTAAATCAGAAATCGAAAAATACTTTAATCCCAAATCTTAGATTGATAAGTTTATCAACGAGCAGTTAAAAAGAACTATAATAGTATAAGCAACTTACCTACCGTTTTTAATGGCACGTTATAAGTCACTCTACGTTTTAACAGAATGACAGATTAAGAGATTTAAGACTTGAGTCTTGAGTTGAGAGCACGTGTAAGCGGTAGTTAGTCGTTACTACATTAATTCCTTAATATAGTCAAAGTCAAACGTTACTATTATTCAGTAACTACTAACTACCAAGCCGTTAATCGGAACTCGCTAATAATATTTTGTTTGTATATTAAATATTCGTTGTGGACTTGCGGTAACCACAATTCACAAGGAGGGAGTTTAATTCCAATTGTTAACGCTTATCACAAATACGTTAACATGGGTACCAGACATTTGTCCCAACGTCACTTTCACCCACATTCTAATATTTTTGATCTATAGATCCACAAAAAATTCGGTACCGGGATATTGTAGAAATGTATAGTTGTATCGTTGTATGTAATTGAACATATATTATACATTTTTACCTACCAAATAATTTGCAGACTTTCGAAATTCTGATGGATTTTAATATTTTATCAACATTTGAATCACGATTAACTGATGTAACTGTTGCATATACCTGTGGTATTTATGTATTTTTTAACTGATATTATCACAACTAGAACACCTTGTAAGATTCTATTCAAATTAATTAGTTAATTAAACAATGATTATTTAGGAGACACTAGCTGGTTAGTATAAATGCTCGTGGTTAAATATTATCGATAAAAACTTTTTCATTTCGTAAAATGCTTCAAAAATTGAATGCTATGTTCCTTATACATTTTGTTAATGGAAGTTCAAAATTATTTAAGATACATCAATTATTTTTTATATACATTTAAAGTTCAAATTTTGATAAAATTCAACAAAATGTTTAAACTATTTTTCAGTGAGAAATTCATAAAAGTTTTTCCTTCTAAAGCTAACATCAGAAATTTTGAAAGAAAATTCTCCACATAGTTTCCTATCTTAAACAAAAAAAAATTACCTGAAGGCTGAAAGTAATATTAATTTTTTATGAACGTTTAATTAACGAATTTCCGTTTAAGCATTTTTGATATTTTGTTGTTATTCAAAGACGAATAACCGTAGACACCTGAAATTTTCACCAAATGTTAAAATGACAATTTTCCATACTTGGTAAAATTTGAAACAAATTTGACTCTTTTTGAGCAATTTTTTTAATTTCTTACATTATTTTTTAGTTAGAAATTTATAAAAGTTTTTCTTTTCACACAGCTAACGTTAAAAATTTTAATGGAAGGTTCCTAACAAGTTTTACGTACTTTATCAAATAGAAAAAGTTCACCGGAAATTTACGCTGTTTTAAGCCATGAGATATTTTCTATTTGTATTAATTTTTTTTTTACTATTAAATTTAATTATTTATATACCTACATTTTCTAGGTTGACACAACGTTTCCACTCAAAATCGTTTGTCATTTATGTGTACAAGGATTTATCATTGAATTAAGTATAACAAATCCATTACAATGAAATGCTCTACAATACTGTAGTACTATACAGCAGAGCGATACCCACTTGACCACCATATTTGTTTTTGAGTTACAACTAAACAAAATAGATTTATTAGTAACTGATTTCCCGTTTTCCCGTATTTTTCTTAAATTAATAATAATTAATATATTGAAATATAAGTGATAGAGTGAACAATACAGCATATTTTGAACTTTGAAAACCCGGTGCCATCAACAGAACCATTCTTTAATGAACTAATTATTGTGAATTGTGTTTTCAGTTTAAGAATCTAGAGATTGTAGACTGAAGTCTTTAGTGTTTATTTTTACGTTCCTCTTTTTTTAAATTTAGGCCTGAATAATTTTTAAACTATTTCCCGTTTGATATTGACCGTTTTACAAAATGTTCTTATTATATATATTGCTATTCAAAAAAGATATTTCTAGTATTAATATTATTTTTATATATTTCAATATTTGTCATATTGACATGTTGTATTATTATGAACTGTCGCCTTTATTATGTTATTATTTATTAATATTGTATTGTAAAATATTTATTATTGTAATATTTTAGGCCCGAAATGTCAAAAAAAAACCCGATAAAATTTAAAAATATTATTATTTATTTGAAATACCATGTAAAATACATTCACTTGATTACCCTGAACTGTAATAGTCTTAAATAATATCTATAAATTTTATGGTAATGTAACAAAAGACCGTTCCTTCAGTGGAAAAATAAGTTATATAGTTACATATTTAATTCCGACATACCCCTCCAAGAGATGGCATGCAATTTGGACATTCCAATTTATAGGTATTTATTCTTTGGCATGCAATTTGGATGCATCGATGCTATGAACGAAAATGTAGTAATGGACAATATTGAACACTTCTGTCACTTCAGTAATGTACCTATTTTAGTATTTTACCCAGGGCCTTATTTACAATTTTTGTGCCCCGAGTCAACCATAATTTTACGTCTTCCCCCCCTCCCCAAAAAATAGGTCCACTTTTTTATTTTTCTTAACACATTTTTAATTATAATTTTTTATGGTTAAACCTTGTCCATCTACAACCGTGGTTATGTTAAAGTAATATCAATTATATTCTATACTAGCAGCTAGCACTTATCCGTTATCGCTGCACTGCTAAGTCCACAAGGGTCTATTCTACATACCTATTCTTTCCAAAAAAAAAATATTTATTTATACAATACTACACCGGGTTACAGCGGTGCCCGGTCGTCCCCTAAATAGATCAATATTTGGCCACCCGGTGCAAATGTCCCCATTGTACCCCCCTAAATACGGCTCTGATTTCACCCATACAATTATACAACATTATTTATTGTTGTTATTATATTCTTGGTATATTGCTGACAAATATTTAATTTATCATGGTATCAATAGTATTTGGTATTATCAGTATTATTATGGTATTATCTAAGTAGATACTAGATAATAAAGAGAAATACTCAAATCATAATATAGTACTTGCTCAAATCAATTATAAAATCTAAAATATTTCTCTTCAGTACTCAGTAGTTCAGCTTCAGACATTCATTCTACAATAATACTTCTTCCACTACTCATTGTTTTATAATTTTATGATACTAAGTTGTCTAATACTCTAATGTCTAATTTGTAATGTGTTCAGTGTTCTTCACGGTGCACAGACATTAACATAATACTATTTGTTTTTGTTTTTACATATTATAATAGTGATATAATTGCCAATTTTCTATTATTCCAACATTTTTACTGTATTAATTAATTATTTTCTTATAAATATGGTTAAAGTTAATAAAGAAGCATGTATACCACTGTTGCCGTATGATCTGGGATATGAAGAGACTATTTTACAATTAATAAAATCATTAGATTGTCTAGATAAAGTTGTTGAATGTGTATATGAACATGTAAGAAGTAATATAAACTCACAAAAATTGGAAATAGTTAAACTGAGTGACAAATTGAACAACATAGCTAATAAAGTACAACTTTTGTCAAACACCAAGAAATCGATTCAAGTTTATTCCAGTTCCAAATATCCTGCCGCACATTTACACAAAGATTATGAATATAGTTATGATTTTGAAATTAAATCTGATATCACGGACAATATCCAAGTTGCTCATCAAATATGTGTGTCGAATGACCCAACTGATAAACTTAAATTTTACCATGTTGATGACGAAAGTAAAAAGTTATCCAAAAATAAAGATATTATTCAAATGAAAGGCCTAGGCAGATTACCTGACGATGTTAGTTACATAAATTCCTTATTATTATTTAATTCAAATGAAAATTTATACAAAAATTATGTTTTGTCTAACCCCTATAAAGTTAAAATAACAAAAACTAATAAACAAGTCGAAGAAGTTGACAATATTAATAAACCAGTGTTTACACTACCAATAAATGATACCGAAAATCAGTTTAATTATTCTTATACACCGGAATATGAAGAAGTTCCTTCTATTGATGTGCCGGCTGATTTACCCGATCTTCCAGGAATTGCTGGTGATGTATTATGTTTCAAAAATGAAGAAAAAAACATTGACACACCAGTTGTTTGTAATCCTTCAAGTGTAGTGGATCTTCCAAGTTTTGATGAGTTAGACGATATTGAAAACAATGAAATGATTCCTGATAATTTGATACAGACTGATAAAGAAATCATAAAACCGGCTGAACCTGAAGAATTGTCAACTGTTGTAAATATTCAAAATAAAATTGATCATGTTAAAGACGTTGATGATCTTGTTAAAAAGGAACAAAATGTTAATAAAACGTATGATGATAACATAAATACTCACAGTGTTCTAATGGATGAAATAAGAAATGCGGGAGGATTAAAAAAAGCTAAGTTACGCTCAGTCGTCGATAGAAAAACAAACAATGAAACAATGTCTACTGGAGGTGGATTAATGGCAGATTTGCATAAAAAGTTAGCGATGCGAAGGCAAGGGATCTCTGGTAACAATAAGCAAAATGATAGCAGCTTAGAAGGGGTAATATACCGTATGGCTTCAACAATGTTACCGCCAAATCCTGAATCTGAAAGTGAAGCAGACGGTGATGACGATACAGAAGGCGATTGGGATGATTGAGTTCAATAGATCTAATAAAATTTTTTTGTAATTATCTTTCTTTGTTGGCATTACAAATATGTATTTATAGTATAATTTATTGTTTACTCACCTAATTATGAAGTTGATTGTTCTATATATTTATGTTACATTTATATTCAAATAAACATTTCAAACTAAACATTTTCTTTATGAATAATTATGTTTTAGTTTCAAAAAACTGGCTAGGTAGTAGGTTTTTACTTCAAAATATAAAACTAAAATGGTTTAAATGTGCACATGTTTTTAATTACAATTAAAAAATTTAAGTTTATAATTTAAATACAAAAAATATTGATAGGTACATACTACATACATTATAATTTTATATGAAATTTACAATTTTTTTTTTTATACAACAAGATTTATTATTTTATTAAATAGTATACAATAATAGACAAAAAACAAATATGGTTTGTAGTAATTAAAATTATTAAATTATGTAGTAAATGCAAGACAAATTAGTCCAATTTGTGGAATAATTTATTTAAACTGAAGATATAAAATTGGTGTTTAAATTTATTTTGTAACTTGTAGTTCAAGAAACATTTTTTCTAATTTCATAAAAATAATTTAAATAAAACTATAATATAAATATACTAAATTAAGAAATAAATTATATTTCATATAACTAACAGTTACTGTTATTCATTTTTAAATAAGTAAATTATATTTTTTATTGTATTCAATAATACAACATGAATATTATCTAATTTAAATTGTAGAAAATAAATATTAATCAGTCGTTTAATTAAGAAATTTGCTGTAATTGATCATGAAACTCAGTGAATAATCTTTGAGTGCTTCTTGAACCAGCTATAATTCCTAATACATCCCTTAAAAGTTCATGTTTTGACATACCGATTATTGTTTCAACTTTTTTATGACTTGAATAACCATGTGAAACTCCTAACAAATCCTGACACAAATATCTTAATTGATCATTGTCTTCTCTTTCAATTAGAAAAGAAACATAAGCCATTAACCAATATTTGTACTCTTTATCTGACTCCAAAGCTAAGGCTGCCGACATCTGTTGTTCCAAAAATGATTTTGAACACAATTCACTCATCCCTTCAGTGTCCTTAAAATCTAAGTTTGATTTATACTTTGAAGAATAAGCTTGCATGACACTCAATGGATATTTTCCACTAGTTTTATTTAAACCGTTGTGCCTATTTTTTTGAGAAGAATTTGAATATATAGCATCTCCACTATCTCCGATCATCATCCAACATTTTGCATTTATAGAAAACATATATGATTTACCAGTAGTTAATGTAATGATTGACGTTCCATTTTCGGTCAACATGCATTTTTGTACATTTACTGGCTTATTTTTATTTGAACAAACTAATGTGTTGAGTTTTTCTTCATATAGAACACATTCTTGTTTATATATGTTCCAAACAGAAAGAGAATTTTGCGTCATGCATAACAAGTAGTGATTATTGGAACTAATAGAGGTTACTAAGGACGATAGTACATAGGGAGGACATATTAATGATCCATTTTTTGACCCAATCACATGAATAGTACAATCATTTAATGCCACAACTATTAATGATAAAGTTTTATTGGTACAATATTTTACTACACTTGAGCTAAATACTTTTTCCCAAGCAACTAAATTATTACTATAGACTTTTATTTTAGAAATAGACCCATTAATAGTATTACATTTATCGTTTTCTACAACAACCCTATCAGTGCATACGTTTGAAATGGTGAATTTTCTTTTTTGCATTGTAGTTTGACCAAAATTAGGTCGGACATCTGATGAAATGTCATTATCATCCAAATTATTAAATTTAATTTTTTTAGTTGAAAATAAATTTGATATTAATGCTACGGGTTCTGGCCTTTTCTTAGATTCTCCTCTACTGGGAGATATTTGTAAAACAGATGTAGGAGTGCTTCTTGGTATTGTTGAATCAATAATTGTTGGAGTTTGAGATTCTTGACTGAAGTTACTGCAACTGTTGCTTATATTAGGCTCAATAATATTATTCACTCTTTCAACAACTACTTGACTTTTACATTCACTAGATGATGAAAACGGTAAGACATTTATCTCTTCTGCATTATCAGGTGTTGGTGGTATAAAAATTGGTGTAATACGTCTACGTCCATCAGATGTGCGAGTTTCGATTTGTTTTTTCAAAATTGGTGGTAAAGGTTTAATTACATTTGGAGGAGGCTGTTTGATTTCTTTTTTAGAATCAACTTCTTGGATTTCTGACTGTTGTATACCATTCATTTTGAGTATTGCTGGATTTTCTATTAGTAAATTGTTATTGTGGCGTTCTAAAGGTGAGATACCATACATTTTTTCAAAAATTATATTTTTATCTTGATTACTAAGTGCTTTACCAATATCTTTTGGATCAAATATTAATATTGCTATGGTTCCATCATATGAACAAGCATACAGGTTTAATCCATTTGTTGACCACGATAAATCTAACACAGGACCTTGAAATAAACTCTCAAGAACTACAACTGGTCTTTTTAACCCCGTTTGCCATACCGATACATTAGTATCTCTTGAGCCTACAGCACATAAACACATATGATGACTCTTCTTACCAACTTTACGCTCCATTATTGAATTACTAAATCTCACACAATTTACAGCTTTTCTATGTCCTACATAATCTTTCTCATATGTCCAACCATCTCTTTCAATAACTTTAGCTACAGGACCATTGTTGTTCATAGCATGAGCCGATACTAAGTATTGGCCATCTGGAGACCAGCTATGGCGCAGAACAGATGTATTTCCACCACAGTCCTTAAAGGGAGTCGTAACAATAGTATCTGTTTTCCAATCAGATGTTCTCCATATTCTTAAAGTTCTATCGTCTGACTGTGAAGAAATGTATTTACCGATTGGATCCCACGAAACTCCTTTTACCAGACCAGTATGTCCAGAAAGAACTTTATGGACAGATGGAAATTTTTGAGCATCCCATATGATTATGGTGTTGTCCACTGAACATGATGCCAAATATGAGTCATGAGGTGACCACGCAAGATCAAGTATATCACCTGAGTGTGAACGTAAAGTGAACATACATTTCCACGTTTCAATATTAACAATATTTTTGGTGCCGAATACAATGTTTCCACTATTAGGATATTTGCTCAATGTCCACACCATGATGATTTTATCGTCGCCACCAGACGCCAAATATTTGCCGGAGTGACTCCATCGAACGCAATTGACACTTGCTAAGTGGCTGTCAACCTAAAATAATTTAACTATAATTTCTTTTTCAATCATTATTTATATTATTACTGACTTCAAAACATTTTGAGCCCCCTCCCCACTTGTTTAAGACTAAACAACCACTCACCTGGCATAACATTTTGGGTACATTCTCGTCGTTTTCGCTGTTTTCGTCCAGTACCGCGGCTGTGTTCCATAGCATGACCAGTCCGGAGTCCCGACCCTGACCACCGGTGGCCAGACGAGTACCGTCCGGATGAATGTCGATCGAAAATATGGGCATACCATTGTGAGATATCCATGACGGTTTCAGAATAATCATGATGTACGATGGAGGGTTTCGTTCACAATTTTTTCTTTACATTAAATCCGTTCATAGTTAACAATCTAAATGACATATTTAACTTATGATTTTTAACACAGTTAATAACCGAAAGGCGAAAAGATTTTTATTTACTGTCCTTTCAGCTCTCGCCTCTTGCACTTTAATGTTTAATTTTATTTTTTTTTTACCGGGAATTATTTTTCATGTTTTTGTTATTCGTTTCCGACAACGCGACGTTACGGACATCATGCACGTCAAAATTGTTCGTAACTAGTTACTAACTACAGTCTACAATCAAATGCTATATATAAAAAGAACTAAAAAAAAAGGCTACAAGACATAAACACCAAAGGGGCATAAACTATATATCATGTGCGCCACAATTTGTAAGACATAAGCCCCAATTGGGTGGCTGCTTTTATCAAGCCTTTTCGTGTATTCAATTATCTCAGCTAATACTCTTATCAGATTTTGTATATAATAATAAATAAAAAAAAAAAACGTATTTTAAACATTATATTTATTATTTTTTTATTATTTTAATATTAGGTACTTTTTACTATTTTAAATAAATAATTACCCAAAAATAAACATCACCTATATATAATTTCAAATATTTATGACAATATGATGAAATTTATTCTGATTTTAGACAAAAAAAAAAAAATAACTTCTAATTCAAATACATTTTTTTTAAATATGTTAGAATTATATTGTACCCATGGCTAAATAACTATTTATTGATGAATACCAAATGCAAATTGATAAACCTTATGTACATAAACACTAGCAGAGATAAAAATTAAAAATATAAAATACCTCCAATCTGTTGCTACATTTCTATATTTTTAAGTCAATTTATGATAAGAAAGTATGTTATTTTGAAGTTCAGCGCATGCTTGATAAAGACTTGAAAACTGTAACGTTGAAACATAAACCTATTAACTAAATTAGTATCCTATTTTATGGGTAGGTACTTATACAAATTGTTATGTCATTTTTCTGCCGAATTTAATTTTACCAAAATTTTCTTTTACCTCTTTTATTGGGTTTTATGGTTTTTGTTTGGACAAGTACTACAATACACATCCTCAAAATACAATCTTTCATCTACAAAAGTATTAAGTACTTGTATCTGATAGTCAAAATAAGGACTGAAAAAAGATTATTATTTTGTGCATTGTGCTAAAAAATTTTTTTGATTTAATGAAAGAGTTTTTACTTTTTACCATTGTTATCCAACTGCGTGAAAAAGGCGTATGTATACCCAAAAAAATTGTAAATTTATATGCACGAACATTTTTTATAAATACTCATAGAAAATCAAAATTTCAAAAAAAATCATTGTCAAATATGGTGTATAAAATATTTGATAGAATAATAGATTATTTCACTTAGGTAGTAGGATACAGATACATTATACTTATATTTAGCATAGATTAAAATGTATATTTAATCTATGTATTTAGTGACTGTAAAGTCACAAGCTGCGATCCAACTACCCACGCCACGGGTTATTTAGTTGGGTTTAGTGAGGTACTGAGGTTTAATCTACCTTAACGCTGTTAACGGCGTTGGCCGGTATTATTATTTAGAACTAAATTAATTCAATAACAGCAGCGCCATCTACTACCGCCGTATTATACTAACTCCTAATACGTACGTAAGAAACTGGCCGTCACGGCTCTTCAGTTTCCTGAAAGATGAGATGTTTAGTGAGGTTTAGATAGGTTTCGTGAGGTTTAGATGGGTTTCGTGAGGTTTAGTGAGGTTTAATCTACCCTAACGCTGGTAACGGCGTTGGCCGGTATTATTATTTAGATCTAAGCTAATTCGATAATAGCAGCGCCATCTACCGCCGCCGTGTTATACTAACTCCTAATACGTACGTAAGAAACTGGCCGTCACGGCTCTTCAGTTTCCTGAAAGATGTGATGTTTAGTGAGGTTTAGATGGGTTTAGTGAGGTTTAGTTGGGTTTAGAGAGGTTTAATCTACCCAAACGCTGGTAACGGCGTTGGCCGGTATTATTATTTAGATCTAAACTTATTCGATAACAGCAGCGCCATCTACTGCCGCTGTATTATACTAACCCCTAATACGTACGTAAGAACCACTAGATAACCGTGGTAAGAACCTTGTACCAAATTGTTTTCTCTCTTTGGTCCAAACGCAACATAGACAAAACGCATTTACGCAGAATTGTTTTTTCTATGTTTTTTTAAGTAATTTTTTTAGAGTAAAATCACCCATTACAAAAAATATAGAGAATAATATTTTTGAGGGAATTACGTATCAATTTGTCTAAATATTGTCTCAAAACAATTTAAATGTAAGTACGACAATTTTTTTTGTTTATATTGAAAGTTGAATACAAAGTCAAGGAGCAATAAAATATAAAAACGACATCAAAAATATTATTCTATACCTTTTTTGTAATGGGTGATTTTAGTCTAGTCTCTAAGATTACTTAAAACAACGTAGAAAAATGATTTTTCGTAAATGCGTTTTGTCTATAATTATTTTTCTATGGTACGATCAATCAAGATAATATACCTAGGTATATCCTTGGTGTATATACCTAGGTATATCTTAATCGTGGCTCACCAATTCCGTCTGTTATCCTTATCATGTTTCTCGTTTTGCCGCCATAACGGCATGAGCTGATGTCGACATTCTTTGGTTCGCTTCTTGAGATCATTATTCATTGCGATTACGCGTTTATGTGATTATAAACGGAGTGTACGTTACTACTTTAAGTTATAATACGAATTTCGAAGCGTGTTCAGTCAAATTTTTGCCATCAATTTTGTTAACTCCTATAATAAATTTGATCGTAGTTTTCTCTTCCCGACAGGTAAGGAAAAATTGACATAATATATAGATTTTAGATAGTAACTACAACCGATGTTCCACGGTTGTAACAATATCGCGTGCAGGGGTTTCAGATTACGCACTAGAATCGTGTTCAGTGTACGAATGTTTATCCATACTATTTCGGTTGAAAAACAAATTAGCAGCATAATTGACGACAGCCATGTCACTGAGTATCGATAAATCTAAATCTTATTGTTATAATATGTTCTTAATACATAGTTGAATGATATAATAATGTTGTAATTTAATTTATTGTTAATCATTAATTTATGAAAAAATTCCCTTTTTTTGATATCGACTGTATTTTCTTAATAACTCAATTATTAAATATTTTTAGTTTCCAAAATGTGGGGCGACGATGAAGGTGGGTTTAATGTCACAATGACACAAAGTCCAGCAACAGCATCTGGAGCTGAACCAAAACAAAATACTGTAATTTCTGTGGCTATCCGTGAATTGTTTGAAACTAACGAGGAAAACAAAAATACACATGTTGTAGTAGTTGGAATTATCAAACAGGTAAAAGCATTATTCATTTTATAATAAGACATCTACTAAGATATAAATGAATAATATAATATTAAAATCTTTTCTCGTGTTTTGAAGGTTGAAACACAAACTTTAAAGAATATGTTTACAATTGAAGACAATACTGGTCGCTTGTTGTGCATTCAATGGGGAGATGAGAACGAATTGTCAAGATATCCTAAGTTGATTGAAAACGCATATTTTAAAGTAGTTGGTAGTAAAAGAATTCAAAATGAAAAAGTCACTTTGCTTTGTCATAGTGTAAGGCCTTTAGAAACTCTAAATGAATTAACACATCATTTATTAAGTATTATTGCGTTACCGTATCTAACCGAGGAAATCAATATGGTGAGAATAGTTTTGTAACCTATAAAAAAAAAATATGTTCGTTAATTATTTGATTTTTATAGGCTAGCGGTACACAGCAGTCTATTGCAACAAACCAAAAGGACTTTTTAATCAGTGGTGATAATACTAATGGATTTATGGACACAACTAACAATTTATCGCTGAACCCAAGGCAATTAAAAGTTTATACAGTTATAAAGAGGTGCCAGGATGAGGCAGGTTATTCAGCATCAGATATTCAAAAAATACTTCCAGAGAAAATGCCATTACCAGAAATAGAAAAAATTCTTTCATTTTTCATTGAAGAGGGACATATTTTCTCAACCATTGATGAGAATCATTACAAAGTCACTGATTTTGGAAGTTAACTGTTCAGTTTATAGGTTAATTTTAACATTATTTTAGAAAATGGAAAAAGTTAAAATTTAAGCACTATAATTTTAATGTACACAATATCACTAATACAGTACATTTTTATTACTAAAAATAATTAATACATTTATATAATGATAAAAATAATAAACAATAAAAAGTTTTTTTCACACAAAAGTTGTACAACAGTTTATATATCCTAAAAAGTAGCATACAGTTATAATAGAATTAAGATAGAATGCACTAAGATTGATGATGATGGAGTCGTTTCCCATTGTCAAAACTTGATAGCCGTGGATAATTAACGAATTCTCTTCCATAATAAAATATTAACGACAATACACACATAACCATTGTGCCCCAGAATAGAAGAAATATATATGTTCCAGTGTTGTATTCTAACAAACAGATATATAATATTATTACATTCAGTTATAAATAAATAGTTCAAAAATGTTTTACTAACCAGAAGTAAACACAGCATTAGCCATGAACATTGCTAGTGCAATCATTAAAATGATTGGATACTAAAAAATAAAAAGAACAAGTTCATAGTATGTATTATATAACCTGTATTATAATGCTAAAATGATTTTAGATAGGTTTGTAATTTTTAACAACATTTATTTGATCAAAACTATTTCCACCGAATCTCTACTGGAATATTATATTAACTAATCTACGGCAGTCGGTTAAAATGGAGTGCAATATTATCACATTATTGGGAATGTAGGAATTTTAAATTAGTATACTTAAGAGGACATTGTAGCCACATGTGCTGTCTTGGTCTTACAAGTGAGTAACATACCAAATTTTAAGCTCAGAAGATCACTTTTGGCTCTGGCAGTTTAAAAATTAGAGTGAATTGCCCTCTTATTAAAATTAAAGGTATGATTATTATGGAGGACATCTCATGGGTATTTTTTTACAATTTTAAAATATTCATAACTCGTTTTAAAATTAAAATATAATAAAAAAGCCCATGAGATGCCCTTCATAATAATCTTACCTTTAGTCTTATAAGAAGTCAATTCACTCTAATTTTTAAACTGACAGAGCTAAACGTGATCCGAGCGTAAAATTTGGTATGTTATGCACTTGTAAGACAGTGACAACACACGCGGATATAATGTCCTTTTAAATAATACTATTATCCCAAACAATATGAATCAATAGTTGAATAAAGTTCTCAAACACGTAATTTAGTGATATATTATAACTATATTAAATTTTAATAAGCAATTCGGCAAGAGTGCTAGTTGTGTGTTGTCGCCTTCATATACAAATATATAACAACAACTTTGCATAAAATAGCTTAAATTATGGGCTGTTAATTATATTATTAGAGTCAATTAACAAATTAATTATTATTTATTTATCTATTATCAAACTTAAAAGATAAAAACATTATCTGCTCTTTAACGTTTTAAAATTTTAACAAGAGGAGTTTGTTAAATATCACAATTTTCAAATACTCATAATATATTGCTTTAAAATTATAACACAAAATAACCAACTTGAAAACAAATAGTGTTTTTATCTTCAAGTTTCATATAGGTAAATTCACTTTAATATTAAAACTAATATTACAATATTGAAACCCATGAATGCAAATTTTGTGGTGTTGTATTAATTGAAATAAAATGAAATATTACTATTAACTACTGTGTTACTAAAAAATATGATTTTATTAGAGTAATTTGTTATTATTAGTTACTACCCAAGACTTGCAGGAACCTAGAAAATTGTACATGACAATGCAATCCAGAACAAGTAAAATTAATTTATTACTTACCATAAAATATTTAAGGGCCGGTTTGACTTCTAAAGGACATGATAAAGATGCACTTTCTTCAGCATTTACAACATAATTTCCCAAAACAAGATCAATACTATCCTATGAAGTATGAAAAAATTACAAAAATTGTATTTCATTATAATTTAAAAATCATCCTATCTTAACAATATTAATATTTTATTAACTTGGCGAACTCCATCTCTGAGATTGTTTTTGTAATATCGCAAAAGTGAGTTTTTTAAATCTCTAAACATCCCATTGTAAGTACGTTTGCCAGTTCGTGTAAAATCAGTTTTTAGGGCTCCTGTTCCAGAGTATTGAATTGATATTATATCAGCATGATCAGCCCATACTGATTTAAATAAACTTTCAAAATCTAATTGATCTTCAACTTTCTGTCCAAAGTTTAATATGTCCATTTTCTTAAATAATTATAAAATATTTTATCAGACATTTTACATCTAAATATTTAATTAAATTAATAAATGTTACCTGCAACATAACAGTCAACATTCTACGGCCTAATAAACTTTGTACAACATTTGTTCGATCCAAACAATCAACACAATTTGTTCTAAATACTCCTTTTTGTAAAATAAGCAATTTCCCATCAGATCCGAGAAGAAAGTATTTTAAATTATCTTGCTCGTGGGCTACTCTATTAACCAAAATTGAAAGTCTATCCCATCTCATTTTTTTACATTCACTATGAAAATCAAATGCTTCATATTTAATTTTATTATTGTCCAACATAGTAACAATATTATGAAAATTTCGTTCCAATTCTTGCTCTGCACCTCTATGATCAATCTTTTATTTTTATTATTATTTATTAGTATTAATTTAAAAAATAAACAAATCTTAAAAAAACTATGTTCATTACCAAGTTAATCGCAATTTGTTGACCATAAATAGAAATTTGCTCATTAAAGTGAATGGTAGCTGCTTCTAAATGGTTTTCATTTTGAGCTATTTGCATAGCGGGCTTATATTTAAGAGTTGGATATTGAGCCCAATACAAAGGAATTGATCCACGTGTCTGTAAAATTAATTTAATTAATACTAATAAATAATAATCACAGTAATAAGAATGAATATACCTGTACATAAGAACTCTTAGTGTTATTATATTCTACTATCATTTCTGTCTCAACAAAATTAGCAACATTTCCATTCAGATCAATACCACGTTTTAATAATCTTGGGCCATGACGATTTCGTGATCGTCGAGATACTACTGTCCAAACAAAATCTTTTCCATTTAAAATGCAATTATTTATTGCAATAACTGAAATTATAAATAATTCACATACAATTTTAAATACTTATTGTTTAAAATTAATAAATTCCTTGAAATCGACAACTAGTCAATTTTCATTTTTTTTTTTTCTTTAATTTTGTACCCGATTATACTCTGTACAAAGTTTAATAGTAACAGACTACAGACCCCAAAGTAACTTTACTAAGACTACTTTAAAAAGTTGTAAAATACATTATTTAAATTTGTTTTTAACTATAAGAAAAATTAAACTGTGACTGCAATCTTATTTATATAAAAATGGAATACTTATGTATTTTTTTTCTATTAATTTATAAAAGAAATTTGTACTAATAACATTCTGGCTGTATAATAAATCAGCAAATCTCAGAAAACGTACAATACCGAGTATAATATAGGTGATATTCAATACTCAATACAGGCCAAAATACAATAATATACAAAAAATCGGTCAGGAAATCTCTTATTATATTAACTTACATCCATGAATGATGGGAACACAAAATTCATGATGCTCCGTACAAAAATTCTTCAATAAATAATGATTCCACAGAAATCGCTGATCTGCTCTTTCATACATTGGAATCTAAAATAAAGAGAAAAACTTGTTAACATTTTAATCATTAGTGATTAATTATAAGTATAAAGCAGAATCCTCATAGACACAGCAAAATTAAAACAAGAGTTTGGGTTTTTAATAACATTTTAGATAGTGATGTTTTTTGATAGTCTGTGATGGAAAAGTTAATTTTTTGTTCACTATTTTACCAGCATTAAATACATCTATCACAAAACTATTAATATCCCATTATTCACTAGTACTTTCAAGTTCTAACCAGGTTCTTCAAACAGTTCTTTTAAATGTCTTGTATTTAGATTTTACACGTGTATACATATAAAACTCATGTAAAATCTTGGTAAAATTATCACATAATCCACAAAATAATAACATTCTAGTTAATCCGACTTTGACAAAGTAGGCATTAGTGGTGTGTTCATAAAGATGTCACCACAGTACCACATCCAATTTGAATGTGGCAGTGAAGTTGACAAAACCAGTAACAATTGATTGAATAAAATAGGATGCCTGAGTAATAGGTTATATAAGTGAAACATATAAATATAATTTTTAATTGAGTATTCTCGAGCATTAGTGGTAGATATACATTTTAAACTTCGCTACATTGCAAAATTATTGTTTAAATGCCTCTGTAATGATTATGAATATAACTTTTAATAGTTTATTACTGTATTTTTTTTATGCTTACATTTACAAATGATGTTGAAGTGTTATACAGCCTCTGCATAGTGTGAGTTAAATCATATGTATATGAAAAATAATAATAAGGAGTGTTAAAAGTTTGCTTGATCATGTTTAAATATTCAATATCCATTCGGTCCTGTTGAAAATACAAAATATTTCTATAAAAATGTATTAATACAATTTTGAACATAAAAATATAAAATGTATATGTACTTGTGTTTCATTTAAATGAAGTTTAGTTTTAGGTATAGGTAAAATGTCAATATCTACCAATTGCCATATATCATGACCATTTATTTTACCAACAAATTTTTTTTTTTTTATTATGATAATGTAAGGGCCAATTAAAAGTCTTACAACACCTAATATTCCAGCAATTGTTTGGCTTTTACTTTCTGTTGGTATTTGACCATTATTTGCTGAAAAATAGTTAAGCCAAGTTAAATAATAAAACATTTTAATAAACTAATGGATACAATAACTAAGTTATAGCAGCTCAATATAATAACAAATGTATATAAAATAAATCCATAAATTAAGTACTTTGTTTTTGAGAGGTGAAGTCAATTCGATCAATGTTCAGTATTGTATTTGTATTTTGTACTGGCTCAATGAATATATTATTTGGGCAAATATACCTGAAAATAAAATAAGTTAGTCACGCATCATTATATTCACAAAAAGTAATAATAAATTGAAAAATAAATACAGTATTCA